GCGGCCGCCATGGCGGGTGAGGGCACGGGAAGGGCAGCGCCTCACGGAGCGCCCGGCCGTGTGTCGGAACCGGGCTGCACGGAGCGGGGAACAGTGCGTGCCGAGGTGGAAAGGAACCACGAGGATCACGGAGTCCGACAGCAGGCATCCCCAGGGATCACACCCCAGGCCTGGGAGTGTTGTCCGAACCGGCTTTGAGCCCTGCCGGGGTTGGGTCACTGTCTCCCCCCTCTTCCAGTAAATATTTCCTCCCAGCAGCTATCCAAAATTCACCCTTTTTCTATCTGTACCCATTACTTGTCCTATCACTACAGTTCCTCTTGGGCCACGTCAGATCCTGGAGGATGCTGTGAGGAACCCACACTTCTCCAGGCGGAACGGCCCCAGCTCCCTGAGCCTGAAGATGATATTCTGGAGAAATTCATCATTACCAAGTGCTCCATCATTCCACACTGCCCAGCCAGGTTGTGACCAGTCTCCTTACCCCTTCTGTGGCAAGGAGAGGTCAAAATGCCCCTCAGACCGTACACTGCACTCTGTTCTCTTCCTCTCCCCGTTTGTCCTAACCCTGGTTCTGCTCCCTTTTCCCAAACAAACAGCACCTGCCCGCTCCCAAAAGAGTACATTCCTCGGTTTACTGGGCAAAGAGAAAGCATTACATCGTGGGGGGCAAAAAAAAAAAAAAAAAATTTATCTGGGAATAAAAATGCTCCAATTCCCCCCAGCCAGGATCTGCCGTGCCCAGCTCACTGCCACAGCGGTGGCATCAGGGCTGTTACTGCTCCAGGCACGGATTAAACTGTCAGATCAACACAATACCCTGGAATTCATGGTGCTAATAAACACTGAGCTCTATTTCTCAGTAGGATTAATAATTAGTCACCCTAAACAGCACTAAAGCCTGCAGCAGCAGAGGGGAAGGGCGCTCACCCACACCCTGGTAAGGTGTGAGATGGAGTTTCAAACCTTTTTCTGAGCAGTTCCTCGCTTTGGGATCCATTTTGCTACCACCAGCTCTTCACAGGATGTATTTCAGGAGATCAGACTGCTGGAAAAAGGAACTTGCTTTTACTCAGAGCAGCACCTAAGGGCAGGTATAGGGCCTCGGTATGCAAACAGTTTGAGGACACCTCAAACACCACAACAGTGAAAAGGCAGTAGTTTCTGCGGCCAACTGAGGTGTTTGCTCGGTTTTCCAAGGAGGAACCATAATAAACCCAAGGAATACTTCCTAAATCTGAGTTGTAGATCTCCTCTAAGTGCTCTGTAAGGGAACAGTGCAGGGATCCTGACTGCTCACCAGCCCGGCCTCACAGGACCCACCCTCCTTCATCTCCTGCTACCTCTGCTCACAGGTGACAGCTCCTGACATGTACACGGCAATTCCCGCTTGGACTCTTCCAAATAAACCTTCATGGGCCTGATTCTGGAAGAGACCTGCCTCTGGAGCCTGCAGCAGGGAAGCTCTCCTCAAATGTCAAACAGAGAATTTATGTCTTCTCAATAATGCCTGGGGTGTTTTTATAACTTACTTAAATTACACAAGTAGAAAAGTTATGCTTATTAATAGTTTAATGTATGAAGGAAACATCCAGATTTCTGAATATGAAGGTACATATCTCACATTAATTTAAGTCTACATAAAGTAGAGCCTCTATAACTGACATATTGAAATTTACTTTCTGCTTAGCCATTTGTTATGTAAACAATTGTACATTTATTTGCCATTCTAAAACTTCAGGATCAAGTTTACATAATTTTGCTAAATTTCTGTGTTTGCTCAGAAGCAGTTTACAGTACTAAAACCAACCAGCCAAAGAACAGCTTCAACAGAAAGTTATGTCAAAAAAAAAAAAAAAAAAAAAAAAAAAAAAAAAAAAAAAAAAGGAGGAAAGGAAAGAAGAAAGTCTAACTAAGTTGAAACATATGATGGTGGGGAATGGGCGGTCACAATGTTCACAGAAAAAGGTCAGTTAGTAAGTTCTTCTGCAAAAAGCCTACACACTTCAGTCAAGCACATCAGTAGAATGATCTGGGAGCACATAAACTGTTTCTGCCAATTGTGGTTTCCTCTGCAAAAAAAGGAATCTCAAGGCCAGCACGTTGATCCCACTCAGCCCAGCTGGTTCATATGCACACTGTTCATGTGAGGTGTCCAGGTTCCAGTCCACACCTGCAAGAGAAAGCCGCCTTAGCACCGCGCCTCGGGCTGCCCCAGGCAGGGCAGGGCCCACAGCGCGCTGCAGGTCACCGATTGTCCTGTCCGGGACAACGAACGGGGCTCTGGGCGGGCACCAAATGATCTCCCAGCCCAGCTCCCAAATCCCTCCATTCCCAGAGCACGGGACGTGCATGCGCTCTTCTTCATCTTCAGTTCAGACAAAGAACTTGATTCCTGCCACTTCAATTTCCCCTAAGACCTTCACTTGTGGGGAATCCCAGGTCTAACCCAGTAAAGCTTTCTTTGGGGGACAAAGTTGGTCATGAAACCAGAAATGACCCTGCAGGGACAAGAAGCCACCCCGGGGCAGTACCTGAACTGTGAGCAAACCCCCCCTCCCTCACACCCATGGTCTGGGAGCTGCTCCCCACAGCTTGGATCATTTCCAAACAAATTAAGCCCAGAAACATCTTTGTTTAGTAACAGTGTACCAGGGATCACTGTCCAATTAAAAATAATCACAGAGCTACTGATGTTCCATTATAGTATTAGTTCCTGAGTAGGAACAAGAGGTTCAGGGGAATTAATCCCTCTGCCTAAATTATATTGAGTGGAAAAGCCAGGCAAGATCAGAGCAGCAAAGAGTTACTAACTCCCTTCCTTGGGGTGCTCTAACACAGTCACACCATCCTCAGCCACAGAGCCCAGCAGCAGCCCTGTTGCTGCGTTCCCTTCTTGGGACGGGAAAGCTTAACTAACAGCACATGAACTGGCTTTTCCTATGAAATTTTTCCCCAAGATTTCTTTGCCCAAATGCCCAACTGCACAGACAGGAATCACGATACATTTCAAGTACAACACACAGTGCAAGAAGAAAGGATCAGTTACCGTCTGAGGCCCGTTGTTTTCTGTGGAATTTGAAACCATCTTTATCAGCGAGTTCCAAGATGGGTCAGCAGCATGAGGCCCGTTAAAGATGGGGCCTCCAGTACCATCTGTGATGGGGGCTACGGGAGGAATTATGGCGTTCCCATACACAGAAAAAGGCATTCCCTGAGGGGAAGGAAAACAACAGTCAGGACGCTTCCAGGAACGCCACTGCACGGACAGAAGGACAAGAGGGATTCCCGCTGCACAGGGGGGCCAAGGAGGTCATTACCCCGACTTTCGGGAAGTCCATGTATCCTGCAGGGACGGGCTGATGGAATGTACCGGAAGGCGTTACGATTCCCGTGCTGTCTCTCTCCATGGCTTGGTGCGAGAAGACGCCTGGGTCGGACATGGGCCTGTGGATCATGTGGCTGCCCATGCCGCTGTGACACCAGTCCACTTTATCTGCCGGCACAGAGACACGGCGTCACCCGCGGCTGCCAGCCCGCAGCGCTCGGCCCCACCCGCACCACAGCTCCCGAGGGATGGAGGGACAGCACCAGGAGTGCCACCTGCAGGGCCACGAACCCTGAGCCACTGCCACGAGTTTGGGACGGTTACCTGCAACCAGAGCGCTGCCCCTGCAACTTTCCTCCATTTCAACAGCAAAGCTGGAATTTGGGCTAACTCTCCCTCCTCCAAAAACCTCAGAGCCTCCAAAAACCTCAATTCCTCGTGCCCTTGGTGCTGTGGAAACGGTATGTACACTATGAAGACTATCTGCTCTACTTCACTACCATTCTTCCACGAGTTGCTTCATATTCTAAGGGACACAGAACTATCTGAGCAAACCAGAACATGACGAGCTGCAGCTATGTCCTGATTCATGTGAATTCATCAGAGGCAGCCTGGTGCTGGTGCTACAGCTCAAATCCCGGACACTCAAAAATCCAATTTTCAAAACAAATGATTTAAAAAAATTATTTGGAGAAGGGGAACAGAAGCGTTTCTGAGGCTCCCCAGTACTCAAGTAGAGAAGAGCCAATCCCATTGGGAACTGAAAATCAAAATGTTGAAGTCACAGACCGAAGCAGAAAGAAGTCAAGACAGACACAAAGGACAACTTTTACAGCCACACAATCCAAATAAATAGTGAATTTCTAAAGCTTTATCTGGGAAAAGACCACTAGTGAAGTAAAAAAAGGGTTTGCATTTGGGGAAAAATTCCAGCACAGTCAGTCAGTTAAAACCTTCAGCTGTGTGGGCTCAGTCAGGGAGCAGAACAGATTGCTCTGAACAGCAGAGCAGTTCCAGTCCTTGCAGGTTTTCCAGAGCAGATTGGATAAAGAACTCAAGGGAAACCCCATTTTGTGCAGGAGGCTGACAGGACATCCAGAGGTCCAATCCAACACAGCCTCAATAATCATACACCCCATCCCAAGAAAAAAAAAAAAAAAAAACAAAAAAAACCCTGAAGAAATTAAAAAACCCCCATCCCAAGCAAAAAAAAAAAAAAAACCTGAAGAAATTAAAAAGAAAACTCCCCACAAAAAACGCCAATCAACATGGAAAAGTTTATCAGTCTCCCAGAAATTGCATCCAAGACTCCTGACAAGTTTGGTAAGAAGAGCTGTAGGATGACTAACTGATTTAATAAAATCTGAAATAACTAAATTCCATGTGACTCCAGGAGAACCAAGAGCCTTGTGCTAATAGAAGGTGAATGGCTGAAAAGAATAAAGGAAACCCAAATGTGGAATTTTATCCCTTTATAAAAGCACCATCCTCAGCACAAAAAGTTCTACCTTAGCTACAAATTAAATATTAACTCCTACCATATAAACAACCTCTTTATCAGCAAGAAACTCCAGACAGTTATCTTGTGACACCTTA